ATTGCAGTTAGCATATATTTGTTTTATGATGTTTATATAGGCCCCGGATACTCCTTGGTTTTCTAAGCTTTCCCAAATCACTTCATGTTTGATGCTGTCAAAAGCTTTGGTGTAATCTATAAAAGACATATACACTGTTTTGTTATATTCACTGTATTTTTCTATGATTTGTTTGACTGTGTGTATATGATCTATCGTTGCGAAGTTTTTCCTAAATCCGGCCTGTTCCATTGGTTGGCTCTCGTCTAATGTGGTGCTTAATCGATCTAGTAATATCTTGGAGAAAACCTTATATATGTTTGACATCAGGCTTATTGGTCTATAGTTGGATAGGTCTTCCCTTGAGCCTTTTTTGTATATAAGAATTATGTGCGAGGTTTGCCATTGTTCAGGAATCTGTTCTGATGTTAGGATGTCGTTAAAGATTTTCGTCAGAATGGGCACCAGTTCTTTTAACGTTCCTTTCAGTAATCCGTTCGTGATCTTGTCTGGACCTGGTGCCTTATCTGACTTTTGGCTTAATATAGCTTTCCTGACTTCACTTTGTAATATATCTGGTTCTAAGTTTGAAGGGTATATCGTCGTTTTGTAGTTGTTGCACTGTTCGTTTCCTGCGATAGCTGGGTTGGAGTATAGATTTTTGTAAAAATCTGATGCTGTCTTTACTATAGTTTTGCGGTTCGTGATGTTAATTTGATTTCTTTTGAGATTAGGTACCCAAGGAGTCGCTTCACGAAGTTCTTTAAGAGCTTTTTTGGTTCCGCCTGATTCAATGATGTGTTTTTCGAGTGTTTGTATTCTCCTTGTTTTCCTGTCCCTGCGAATGCTTTTCCTTATTCCCTTACTTATTTCGGCTATTTCTCTCAGATTCCGTTTGCCGTTTTTGTTCGCAATTAGACTTTTTCTTTTATTTATAAGCTGCATGGTAGAATCACTCAAAATATATTTTTGTTTCTTCTCTTTTCTAGTATTAGCATAGCGAAGTTGATTTTGAAGTCTGGTGTATTTGTTTCTTATGTCAAGTTCTTCTGTTTCTTCGATTACTCTGGTCTGAGTTGCTAATGGGTATAATGTTGTTTCGTTAGTTTCCGCGATATGGGTTCTGCTAGACAAGTTAATGTTCTTTCTACGGATCTTAGGGGGCGTCATTTTGAGCGATGCTCTAACCATGCGATGGTTAGTATTGAAATTTAACCTAGAAATGACTGTGGTGTCTGTAAATAGCTTTGGGTGGCTACTTATAATATAATCTATTTCATTTCTGTACTTTCCATCAGGGGAGACCCATGTCCACTTGTTGTTTTTATTCTTCTTGAAGATACTGTTCGCAATTGTAAGATTATGTTCAAGAAGGAGATCTATTAATCGTTGGCCATTGATACTTCTTTTTCCATAGGCGAATTCTCCCAATATGTATTCGTCATCGTTTTGTCTAGCGCCTACTTGCGCATTGAAATCCCCCATCAGGATAATAATATTATTAGAGTAGTCATATATGATTTGAGATAGTGTATTATAAAAGGATGTATGTTCTAGTTCATCAGCTTGTTCAGTTGGTGCGTAGACTTGGATGATTGACCATATTTTTTTGAAGCTGGGTATTTTTAAATGCAGTATGGCTATTCTTTCCGTCATACCGATGAAATCTTCTATGGAGTTTTTTAAGTGGGTTTTAACTAAAAAACCAACTCCTCTTTGGCCTCCAATTTCGCCTTTATGGAACATTATATAATCTTCATGTTCTTCGATTGAATTTCCTGGTCTGCGCACTTCACTTAGTCCCAATACGTCCCATTTAAGGTCTTTCAGCGCAACTTCTAGCTCAGATAGTGATTCAGGAGTTCTTAAAGTCCTAGTATTGAGCGATGCTATGTATATATTATGTTTTTTTGTTAGAGGGTGGTGGTCTGATCTTCCCGCGGCGACCAACCGTGGTGGGAAGGCTTCTTGATTAGGTTGTTTTAGAATGTGTTTCTTCCATATTTGTTTTGCTTTTCCAGATTTAGTTGTTGTTGTTTTTGTTTTGATAGGTTGCTCGCGTGTGTTTGTTAGTTTTTTGAAATGTCGGAGGTCGAAAACGATCTATCTCTTCCTATATATTGTAGTATGTTTGGTTGTAATATTTCTTCTTGTCCTACATTGTTAGTTTTAGTCGATGTGTTTTCAAACTTGTTAGATGTGTTCTGTTTATTCTGTGTAGACAAGTTGGGAGATACAGTTTTATCTCTCTTCCTTTTTTCGCGCTGGTTATTCTGCAGTTTTTTAATCACCAATTGGTCTCCTTTCAAAAAAGATTTGTTTCCCTTTTTCCATTCTTCCTCTGTTTTTGGCTGTAGTTGTTTTCTAGTTTCTAGTACCTTCTTGGTGGGGTTCTCTTTTTCAAATGTGCCTTTTAATACTATAAGTTTGTCGTATCTTATAAAAGCAGTATAGCCTTTCTCCTTTTCTTTCTGTAACTGGACTTGGAGTTCCTTCCGCCTATTAAGGACTTCAATCGGATAATCCTCCTTAATGTAGTACTGAGTATTTTCTAGACAGGATTTGTTTTTCAGAATATGTAACTTGTAACTCATGCTGTTAAACGTTATAACAACCGGTCTTATGTTATCACCTTTCTTTCCCAACCTTCTGACAAGTTCAATGTTATTTTTGTCACATGGAAATTCAAAGAACATGTTTATTATATTTACTATAATATTCTCTAATTCAAAATAAGTATTCTCACTCTCTTCTACTCCGAACATGACTAGGTTCTTTCGTCGTGAATGCCTTTCTAAGTTATTTAATTTGACTTTTTGTTCTTCAATAGTTTTTTCTAATTGTTCGTTTTTCAAGTCAAGGTTTGCAAATTTCTCGTGAATGTTGTTAATTATTACGTTTTTTAAATCCTCTTTCATGTCCAACATATCTTGTTTTTGTTGCTTGATGTCTTGCTGTAAGTTCAGTAACATTTGGTGAATTTCTTCCATAGTGTATCAGTGCCCTCTATCCGAAGAAATATGAATTTTTCAACGAAGTTAAAATTATTATCGATAAATTTATATTTTCCTAATTCTAGAAATTTTACTAGATGGGGGCGTTTTGACGTATTTGTCTTACGATATTTGTTTTGCAGGAGCAAATAAAATCCATAAATAGTGTAAGTCAGATTATTCGAACTTGGACCGCTTATCACGTAGTCGATATCCTTATATACGTGGCTATCTGAGATTATGATGAACTGAACCAATGTTTGGTATAGTAGATAATTTTGTAACCAGTTCGTATGGATGACTAATGTCTGTTTAATAATTGTATTTCGTTTTGCACTAAGATTTTTCAGAAGACACTTTAGTCACTTTTAGCACTAGACGTCACAACCTCACAAAAATGCAAGTGTCATGAATCCGTTTGATTGTTGAAAGCGTGGCACGTCAGTTGAAGCCTCGTTAAAACACTTTAAAATCCTGATGTGTTTCGTTCTCTTGAGCACTGACTATTCATTTATCTATTACTTTGTAGTATTATTAGACGTTTTAACACTTATTAAATTCGCATTGATCACAAGTAGTATTTTTTTAAAAGAAAGGCAGAATAATTATCAGTAAATAATAGGTACTCACTTCTTCACCTAAAGTATCTTGTGTATTTCCTGGGTGATTTCTATCTCCTAGAAAACTGAAGGCTTCATAGGCATACCAATTCGAAACATATATTTCACCACGACCTGCAGTATAAAATAAAAAAAAATAATATTAGAAATAATATTAGAAATAATATAAAAACCGATGTAACTTTGAATATAATAAAATGAATGTTGTTAACCCTAATCATAAACATTAAATAATAAATACCTGATCCTGTGATTCGGCTTTTTTTTCTCTCGACTTTTCCCTCCTGTAAGACCCTAGTAAAGAGTCCATTTTTTTCTTTAATTCAGCTATTGGAAGGTTCATTTCCTGGCTTATTTTTCTCCATGCATCTTCCCTTAGTCCTCTATTTGTGTAATCAGGACATTGCGCATCCCAAAGTCGTCTATATTCACCATATAGTCGTATTAATTTAAGACACTGTTCTTTATCCATGACGCACAACTAACACGCAACGAATAAGCGAGGCAAAACACTACCGTCTTGAGTGAGCGCGGCAAACGTACTGAGGCGCCTTTGAACATCGACAAAAACCGACAACGTTTGCCTCGGGCGAGGCACGTCTTGACCGACCGAGGATTTGCCTCGCGAGGCAGCCTCGCGAGGCTGCTCGCTCAGTCAGTACGCGGCTATTGATTAAACGAATTAAGTAGTCACGATTTTAAATAAATTCGTAAATTTTTGTATTTAATGAAAATAAACGTTTATTCAATAAATAAACATTTATTGAAGTCATCGTTATCTGGAAAAGAATCGTAATATTTTATTTTATCATTATGACATACCTATTTAGTTTCTATCACAATATGTTATTTTCTGCATATCACTTTTACAAAATAATGTCGATGTTTCACATCTGCCAGGCGTCCCGTGACGGCTCACATTTTTTTTGAATTACTGAGGATTTCGACTTATCGAGGTTCGTGTTATAGAATCTCTTATAGATATATATAGCGGAAAGAATATAAGCGGAAATCCTTTCTGTACCTCAGAGGTATACAATACTAACTCCATTTTTTACGAAATCTTGTTTTTTGTACCAATAAAATAGTTAAAATCAGTTCTACATAGTGGTATAAAGCATTAACTCCTACGAGTAGTATATTAAAAGATAAACATTTGTATATGATATTAAATCCAAAAATACTAACGTGGTATAGAATCTCAAAGGATCATAAGTTTATTTACCCATAAGCGTCGCGCAAATATAATGTTTTTAATTGGACTTAATGCCTTTTACCACTAAACGCAGCGTGGGGCCCGCGCCGCGCGCCGCGCCGTGTCTGCCGTGAACTTGTCAGTGCTTGCGTATCGTGCGTGCAATCACAATGCAAATAATGCTTTAAAATTATTTTACATGGTTTCATCGACATGTTTTCACGTGGAAAGTTATTATGTAAGCTAGCTACTGTTGAAGAACAAGTTGACCAAACTTCAGGAGATGGTAAGGAAGTTTTCTATTACTTTTATAACATAGCGAGTAGCTTTTTAGGGGTAAACAATAGTATCTCCCGTAAATACACACTTTTGATTAGGACCATTTTCAATCTTATTTGTAGGTGCGTTAAGGTACGTTTTTCAATACTTGGGAAAAGAGTTTATTTATGGATTTTTTTCGTTTGTTTATGATTTAATACCAACTATTCATACTAACAAATTGCAAAATTAATAATATTAAGGGAGAAAACCTAAAGCCCGCTCCTAGGCTCTAGGCAATAATATCTGTTAGCTAATGTTTGTTAAAATGTGTCGGTAAATAAATTGTTACTGTACTGATCTTCACGGAATATGCAAGGTTTTATTTTTTTAATATTCAGATCTTACAATATTTATGTGATAGTATATATTTTGTTGGTTTGTTTGCCTAGCTTACACGTAGCAACGAATTATTTTGACCTTTTAAATTATTCATAAGGTGATAAGACCGACCGACTGATAGATACATTTCGTCCTGGAAATTGACATTTAATTATATTTACGTTTTCTTGCAATGGCTTGATAAGACTACATAGTGTTTTCTTTTTCAGGGCTTTCGAATAAATATGATTTCCTACAGCGAAACCTTACCCTCCATGGTGATTCCCCAAGGACTTACAATGTTGAAGAAGTAGAATATCAACGAGTTGACCAATTTACGCCATTGCCTGAAGTATTCGCTACAGTAGTTGATGACACCGATGAAGACACACAACCTTCAAATTCCAATTTATTAACTGATATTTCGTCTAATGTTTTACCTCTGCCCGATAAAATTGCTACAGTAGTAGAAGCTTTTAATGAAAACACATGTCCGTCAATTTCTAGTATCTTAAATGATACTTCAGCTAATAATTTCGTACCATCGCCCAAAAAAAATTGTGTTATAGATGCTTCTGATGAAGAGACAAAACTATCAAAGTCTGGGTCGCTAATTGATATTGTTTCAATAAACGAAGTACCAGATGCATCTAAATCGTATCACCTTGTCAGTGTACACAGCAACTCTGAAGAAGATTTTTCACCTTCAGATGAGGACTATGTTCCAGACACTAACGAAAATTCACCAGATCATGATTTTCCGGGAAGAAGTCAAATTTTTGTACCAGAAACTAGCTGTAGCAGCTTATCCGACAATGAAGTAAATTCAGAAAATCGATTAAATACATGCATAAACCCTATCTCTATGGATGTTCAAACTATTTCTTTATCGTCTTCATCAGAGAGCAGAGGGAGTCGAAAACGAAAAAGAAATATTTGTAAATGGAAGTGCAACGTTAGAAAACTTAAAGCTGTCACAGGAAAATCATATACATCTAAGAAAGGTAAAGTTGTGCCCGAAAAAAAGATGAAACCTGTATGTGACTGTCGACTGAAATGCTCTGAACGAGTAGATGAAACAGCCAGAGCTGCTATATTTCAAAAATATTATAGTAATGAGATGACTTGGAATTTGAAGAGACAGTTTATAATATCAATGGTAACAGAAATTGAAACTGCTAGATCTAGACGTCGCGATCCTGAACACCCACCTAAGAGATCGTTTACATTAAATTACACATTTTTGGTCAACGATAAACCCGAAAAGATATGCAAAAAGTTTTTTTTAAATACCTTGGCAATTTCTGAGACTGTTGTGAGAAATGCTATCAAAAAATCTACACACGGCTTTGTTCAAGAAGACAGACGAGGAAGACATCCACCGCCTAATAAAACGGCAGAAGCCATTAAAGAAAGCATTCGTAACCACATTGATATGATACCCAAATATGAGAGCCATTATAGTCGGAACAGAACTAAAAGACTGTATCTTGGAAGTCATCTAAATATTGAAAAATTGTATGCTTTGTATGTAGAGTTTTGTGCCGAAAAGAATATACCGAAGGAGAATGTTGCAAAGGCATGGCTATATAGACATATTTTCAAGAATGAGTATAATCTAGGATTTAATCCTCCAGCCAATGATACGTGCGACGATTGTGATGGCTTTGTAATTAAAACAAAAAATACTACCGATGTAATAGATAAGAATGCCATAAAAGCTGAACATGATAAACATCTTCAGGAATCACACCTCCGCTATAGCTTAAAAGGATTTGACAAAGTCGATGCAATAGAGAGTCACGGTTCTAAAAAAATGTTAACAGTTGATCTACAAAAGTGTTTGCCTACACCTTATTTGACAAATAGCCAAAGTTTTTATCTTAGGAAGTTGTGGACTTTTAACTTCACGATTATGGATTCTGTAGCCAAGGAGAGCTGGTGCTTTATGTGGGACGAGACTGTAGCAGGACGTGGCGGGAATGAGATGGCTTCTGGATTAGTCAAGTTTTTTGAACAGCTTGAAGATGTCAGATTAGAAGAAGTGACGATATGGAGTGACAACTGCGCCGGACAGAATAAAAATATTTCTGTAATGATGGCGTATTTGTGGATACTATCAAATCAAAATATAAAGATAATTAACCACAAGTATTTACTGAAAGGACATACGCACATGGAGGTGGACGTAATCCATTCCATTATCGAGCGAGAAAAGAAAAAAATACAAGAATTTCCTATAGTTACACCTTGGGACTGGCAGCAGTTTATTAAAAGCTGTTCCAAAAATGCCAAAATAAGTGTAGTGAACATGGAAACAGATTCTTTCAAAGAATTTTCAGCATTTTGTGAGGGACTCTCAGCGCCTTTTGTACACCGAAAAAAATCGGAATCTGGAGAAACGGTGCCATATTCCAATATAGTATGGATGCAATTTCGAAAAGAACACATGGGCTCAATGTTCTATAAAACATCATTTCAAGACGAAATGTTTAGTGAAGTTAGTTTTATTCGAAACAAACGAAAAGGATTTTCTATGCCAACACCAAAACCTATTCGAGATACATTGAGGCCAATTTCCAAATTAAAGTATAACGACTTACAAAAATCGTTACAGTGGATTCCCTCCATGTTTCATGACTTCTACAAAAATCTACCAAATGGCGATGTTCCAGACCTACCTGAAGCTGCTGCTTAATAATAAACATATTTTAATTAGATAAGTACATAACAATTGTGTTAATTTTAAGAAGTCCAATGATTGATCTCATGAATGTTTCTATTTTATTACATAAGAAAATAAATAAATAAAGAAATTTGAAATAATTTTATGATTCTATACATACATATGATGCTTTATGCCCCTGAGTATTACTTGAAATTAATGTATTATGCCGAGGTAAATAACATTATGATGACATAATGCTTTATTTATACCGTCAACTTAATTTTCTGTTGCAAGTAAACAACCTCAAGTCCACAAAATCATACAAGCAATAACTTTATTACAATATAGTAATTATATTAAATATTACCTACTTAAACAATAAAAAACCTAATTTAGTTCATACTTATATCTCGCATACAGCCCGCGTAACATCGCGTTCAACATCTATGCCTCGCATTTTTGTCTCTCCTGTAAAATGTGTGTTTTGGCGCATAATATTCTATACCTCTGAGGTACAGCTTTGATTTATGAATCTTCAGGTAATACTATTGCAGTGTATCTACTTATGAAAATGTCTTCATCTCAAAGTTACCCACAAAGATTTAAAGCTAGATTTACTTCGGATGAACCTGCGTTATGCGGTGATAGTCTTCAGGGTACAAGTGGTAAAATGACTGCTACTGATTTACAGCGCTCTTACGTCTGCAAGTGGACGTATAATTTTGCGGAAAGCTACAAATTTAGCAATTACTCTGATTACAATACTATGTTTATAAGTATTACTAACACATTTTCACGGGAATCGAAATGTTATTATTCCCATTCAAGGTTCACCATTGATGTTCCAATTGAAAATACAGGTCAAAAATTCACTCGAGCTGTATGTGGAAATCAAACCGAAATTTCCTTTTTAAGTTAATCTTGAACCTCTTCTGTTTAATGTTGAATGGAAACTTCAGCCATGTGGAGGATTTGTTCATCTCTCACAAGAACCCAAAAATATTTTGAATATACCAAAATCATTTAATAATACTTTAGATTGTGGATGGATAGTAATCGCTCCTCCTGGAGTTAGAATAGAAACAAGTATTGAGGGAATCTTTAACCACGATTGTTCAGATGAATTTTTAACTGTTCATCATGGTTTGACACAATCAATGTCTGTTTTAGAGTATTGCAAAAATAAAATACCCGCAAAATCTATCGTTACATCTTTCATGAATACATTCATCCAGTATCATTCTAAAGCTCAACAATCTACTAATTTAAAACTGGTTATGAAAGTTGCTAGCAGCCAGTGTGGCGGCTATTTAAATGGGTATGAAAGAATATTTTCCTCACCTAACTACCCAAATCATTATGATGAAAATACAGAATGTACTTGGGTAATACAAGCATCTATAGGTTACAGAGTTTCACTTTCATTTTTTCAACGATTTGTTGTAGAAGATACCGTTAATTGCACTAAAGATGCAGTTATTATATATGACTGGGTAAATGGATCATACCAGGAATTGGCTAAACTGTGCGGGCGAGAAATTCCATCTGTATTAAATTCAACTTCAACTCGGATGAAAGTCGTTTTTCGTACTGATTCTAATATTAATCTAGATGGTTTTACAGCAGAGTGGACTGAAATTTGTGGCGGTGTATTCACAGCTACGGATATAGATCAATTTATTTACAGCCCTGGATACGGCAGCGGTTATGATCCGTTACTTGATTGTTCATATGAAATTCTTGCTCCGACAAACAACAAGTTAATCGTGCAGTTTCAAGACTTTGCCCTTGAAGGTATCTACCCAGAATGTAAATATGACAATCTCACCATAACTGGTGAGCGTGAATACAACTTTCTATTAAAGATATTTTGTGGTAAACATATCCCACCAATTTTAGAGAACTATGAGAAAGTCATGATAAATTTCAAAACAGATAGTATTGGTCAAGATAAAGGCTTTAAACTGTCATACTCGTTGTATAAGTGTGGTGGAAAAATCACTGAGCCTACAATGATTAGAACAGGATCCGCTGAAGAATATTTTAACGGCCTTAATTGTACTTGGATAATTGAGGCCCCTTCAGATAAAGTTATCATAGTTAACTTTGCATATATTGACATAGAACCACATTATTCCTGTTCCAATGATTATATTGCTGTTTTTGATGGATCGCAAATAGAAAATGATCACCGATTAGCTTTGTTATGCGGAAAAATTAATTCTTCTACTGTAATAAAGAGTAATAGTAGTAGGGCAATTGTACAATTTGTGTCTGATGACTTTTTGAACTACAAAGGCTTTCAGGCCCAAATTAGTTTCAGCTATGGCGAAGCCGTTGGATGTGGAGGTGTTATCAGTTTATTATCTGTTACTCAATACTCTTTAAAATCCCCACGGATAGGTAATTCATTTGTATACGAAAACTACTTAGATTGCCATTGGTTTGTGAATGCCCCAGAAGATCATGTTGTTAAAGTTGAATTTACAGCTTTTCATGTATCACCATGCGCCAATGTGAATCAAACAGCGATAGGTATTAGAAAATGCAGCTGTGACTTCGTTGAGATACGGGATGGGCTCAATCCAGATAGTCTTTTGATTGACAAGTTTTGTGGTCACACTTTGCCACCTGCGATAGTATCATCGACTAATGTTTTAAGTATCAGATTGTCAACTGATGGTGAAATAGTGAGTTCTGGCTTTGAAATAAGTTTAAGCTTACAATCTTCCAGATGTTTTCCAACTGAAATAACGGTCGATTTTAATGTTCAAAAAATACACTCGCCTGGGTTTGGACGCGGTGATATCCCGCGGGGTTTACATTGTAAATATATTTTGAAGGGCACTTCGTCAGTTATTCCTACACATTTACGAGTTAACTATCTTGACCTAGAACCAGGTACAGCGAATCACTGTTTAAACGACAAGATGGTTATAACAAATTTCCCTCAAACAAATACCACTATTGGGAAAGATTTTGTTCTAAATCACAATACCGACAATTTCTTTTCACTTTCTTCCTATTTCGATTCAATCATAAACTTAAAACCTGAAATGTTTGTTGTGTGCGGCTCAAATAAGACGCTAGATTTTTATTTATAAATATAAATCTGATAACTTCAGCCGAGTCGTCATCAACTCACAAAGGTGTAGAGTTGGAGGTATCGTACATTGGCCAATGTGGAAGAAATTATACAGAGTCTTATGGGCTACTACAAAATAGCTATATCCAAGATTACAACGTAAATTTATTAAGTTGTTCTAATTTGATAACGGCTCCTGAAAACTACACAATATCAATATATATAATTGAAATGTACCCTAGTTACTTCCATGGTGAGGCATATTTTGAAATATTGGACGGTGATAAATTGTCATCTCCAAGTTTGTATAAAGTTCAATCATCCTATATTATGCAATCAGTTACTTCGACAGGAAGGTATTTGCTGTTGCACAATGTCATGAAAGGTACTGAGCAAATAATGTATAATATAAATTATGTTACCACAGATAAAGGGCGGGGATGTGGGGGTAGACTGATAAATGAGTTCGGTAGAATAACGAGTCCCATGTATCCAGAAGTTTATAGGAAGAGGTCGACTTGTGAATGGGAGCTTGAGACGCCGATTGGCATTCAGCTCCGTCTGCACTTTAGTGAATTTGATTTAGGTCTACTTTGCGATCAGAATTATGTTAGTTTGGTTGATAGGAATGGCAACATCGTTTCATCATATTGTTCTGAAACGCCAGCTGACTATACTAGCGAAGATAATTATGTTAAAGTTGTTTATACTACTACAATGAGCAATGGTGGGACTGGTTGGATAGCAGATATTGTAGGTATTGTTGATTTGTAATATTTATTTATTTATTCTATACATGATATAAATAGAAAGAAGTTGGCGTGGTGGAAACACAAACTGGACACAGTTTTTCCGTCCACCAGGTCGTCGAATATATTTAAATAATTAACCTATTACACACTCAGGCCAGTGACATACTATACAATAACACCCCCACCAATAAACCATAAAATTGCACGAACAATATATACCAATTATTGAAACAATGACGCACATTTCACAGACAGAATTAATGTGCATTTTCCAGGACATTCGGTCATCTATTGTAAGCCCCAGGTATTTGTGGTTATGAACTAATTCTAAGGTGTTGCAGTTACAGTTGATGGGGTACGGGTTATAGGAATGTGCACAAATGTGGTTGTGTAAGATTAAGTGGGGTGTACGTGCGCTTAGATTGTGACTGGATCGGATATGCATGAACTTTGTTTTATTCGGATTTAATACAAGTCCCACGTCGTGGGACCATTTAGCCAATGTATCGAAATCAGATTGTAGCTTTGTTTCTGCTTCTTGTATGTTAGCCCCAGCGGCTACTAGGCATGTATCGTCTGCAAATTGGAATATCTGGCAATATTTTATTATGTTAGGTAATGTGTTAACGTAGGTAAGGTAATGCAAGGGTCCAATAACTGAGCCCTGAGCCGTACCTTCTGTTATGGATATTGGGAAACTTTCTTCGTTGCACACGATAAGTTCTATCTTGCAGATAGTTTTCACACCACTTGAGCAGGTTTCCTCGTACTCCGCAGTCATTTAGGTTTTGTAGGATTACGCTGTGCCTTAATGTGTCGAATGCCTTACTATAATCAATAAACACTACCAGGACATGATCCTTTTTATTTAAGTGCTTATAAATATGATCTGTGAATGCGGATAGTAATTGTGTGGTGTTTTTATTTGGTTGAAATCCGTATTGTTTGTTAGAAAGAATATTGTGTTTTTTATAATAACTTTGGATTTGTCCACATATATATTTTTCAATTATTTTGTTGATTGTTGGCAGTATAGTTATTGGACGATAATTATTATAGTTTTTTTTGCTACCATTTTTGTATATTGGTCGTACTATACCTGTTTTTAATAAATTAGGATACTGTCCAGTGTAAATGCTCGTGTTAATAAGATTAGCTATGGCTACGTTTATTTTATTGCATAACATTTTAATGTCTATATCTATCTGCGCCTGGAGATTTTTTGTCGTTTAATGATTTTATTATCTTTGCAACAGATTTAGGGTCTGCTGACTGAAATCTCATACTAGTATTTTCTGCTCGCCGGTATAAACTTGTATCCAACAGTGGATTTACACAGTTGGTTGCAACATTACTGATACTATTGTGGAAGGTAGTTGCAAAATTATTTGCAATATCTTTACACGTAACATTTTGATTTTCAAATGAGTTTTGTATAGCTAAGTCAATGGATGTTTTAATTTTTCCTGTTAATTCCTTTAATATATCCCATAGATTTTTTAGATTGTTTTTATTAGCTTCTATATTGGTTCTAAGTGTTTTATTTTTAGTTTTATTTATTAATTTATTGACATAATTTCTGGTTTTATTATATTTTTGTTTAAGTATTAAGTTGTTTGTATCTTTTATATATTGAGTAAAAAGTTTATCTCTGTAATGACATGCTTTAATAATTCTATTATTAATCCAATGGTTACTGTTTCGATGAATGTTAGATTTAAGTTTAACTGTATATTCTGATTTTTTATATGCTTGAGTTATGTTGTTTTGTATGAAGTTGTATATGCCAATAGGACACTTCATTTCTACTGTCGGCTTCCAATCAATTTGCTCTAGAAGGGTCGTTAATTTATTTTTGTCAATTAATGTTTTATATGTTGGAACATCCTGTAGCTGTGCTTTAGTGCAAGCGAGCACGATCGCTCGATGGTCCGCTAGTTTTGTGCCAACCGCTGCAGTGTATAGGTCGTGTGTTTGGGATCGAGCGTATATGTGATCTATGCATGATTTTGTAACGATTCCTTTGTATAGTTCTGCCCTAGTGTACGTTGTGATCCCACACATAAGGCCTAAACTGTGTAGTGTGTTGCAATATTTATGTTTTATAGGAATGTCTAGCTTTAGGTTTATATTAACGTCCCCCAATAGATACAAGTCTATATTTTTCTGGCAGTTACTCTTAATGATATTATGAAGTTCGTCAATAAACAGGCTCTTGCTTAGGCTAGGTGCGCGGTAAATAGCACAAATATGCGCAGTGTATTTCGTCTGAGTTGTGATGGTAAAGAGTATATTCTCGAAATGTTGGCTTTTTACAATTTGTATACTAAATTTATGTTTCTTTTTTACATAAACTAAGATACCACCACCTTTCCTACTGTTTCTGAGCGCTGAGAACATTTGATATCCATTTAAATTGTACAAACAACTGATTCTATCAGAAATGTTAACCTCTGTAACAACAATAACGTCAATAGTGTTAGCCGCATATACATTGCTCGAGGCTAGCAAAATATTTTATGATTGACCTTATATTTATATATACTAATAATATGCGTATAAATAAATAAATTTTAATTTGTGTAATTGAATAGTTTACTCAGAATAAGTACTGTTATATCATTAGACTTTAAGAAATTATTAATTAAAGTGTTTAATTCGATATATTATTTTATTTACTACGGATGAATGATCAAAATATAGCCGTCTTCTTCTGGCATCACTCTATTGGTAAAGATTGGCTGTTAACACCTTGAATTGCCGGATATCTTGCGCTACAGTCCCTTGGCGTATGTGATGCCGGCCCTCTGCCAAACATGCTGCAACTTCGACTGTTTTTACCAGACCATTTCTTGCCTTGAATTTTAAATTCTGATTAAATTTTCGTATCATCCCGATTAGTTGAAGGACTCTTTCATTCGACTCTTTGGATCCAGCTGATGTGAAGCATGCGATGGTAGCATCACATCTCAAAAACTTCGAGGCGCCTTTATGGTTCTAATATATATCTAATAAGGTAATTAATAATAATATAGCCGAATATATGCAATCGGAAACACACCATTTTAAATTCATTCACAATAATATTATGTTCTTTAATTGTTAATAACAAATAATTTGGACAAGATTGAAGTGAGATGAATTAAGGACTATTTTAAATAGGGTTTTAAGTTTAATGCAATTTATTAATTAGGTATATAGTTTGAGGATTATAATATGTAGTTTGAGGTATATTTTATAATAAATTGTTTTGAAAGTAATAATTTGTCCCGTTTTATTGTAGATACATTTATTTATTTATAACCAGGAAAACAAAAGAAGTTTACAATAATTCTGTAGTGGAAACATAGACTGGAAATAGCTTTTCTGTCCACGTCGGACTGATTTATAACTTATATACTAATACCAAAGATACTCTGACGATATTTGCAGCACGCATTCTGTCAATTTTATAACAAACGCCATAAGGTTAAATCAAAAAAGTTTGAATTGTATGGTGATTATCTTAAATTTTCCGTGCAATTTTCTTATTGACGTGACAACGTCTTATAATTCGATGGAGCCGGCTGCACGCACGAAAAAACATGACTCATGCGGCGTTACCTCGCTCTGAGGCGTTACCTCGCTCTGAGGCGTTCCATTTAAAATTGACATAATTGTATTTATGCGTACAAATAAATGTAACTTGATCAATTCAATTGTGATTTCTATTTACCTCCTTCTCTATATCCATACAAAATACCTATCAAACAAATTAAATTAATTTTTTTTTTAAAAAGCAACCATCCCATCAATAGTTTTTTATGACGTTGGCACGTTCAACTATCGTCAGTAAACCGACTTTACAGACAACCGATTTTTTAAAAATATATATAGATAATACATAAGTTGAAACGTCGGGTTTTTAAAATAATCTATATTTTCATATTTGTTAATTTATATTTAAATGTGTGCTCAGGAATTAAAAGTCATTATAAGTGGTAAAGATTTATTTAAATTGTTGTGAATACAATATATACTAAGTATACGAATATTTCTTACACAATCTGTATAACTTGATAAAGATAATTATTTTTAAAAAGAACAAGTAACAAATGGTGGGCCTGCCACATAATACATACATCCTCATGACTATATTACAGTTAAATTGTCTACGACATATTCAAATTTAGCTGTGCATGAATATTAAATAATTATAACAAGTAGTTCCGGAGATTTCCGCGTATAAACAAACTTATAATGGTATTAGTAGATAAAAAAAAAGTATAGCTGTAATTTATGAATCATTCAATTTTGCTTTTTGAATGATGGGGTCCAGCTTTAAATTTTATTATAAACTCTCTTTATACGTATACTTCTCATCCTTCTAGCAAAGTACTAGAAAAGTCAGCCACTAACACAGCTATGCAGTGATAATGTAAAATGGTAGGCAACAACAATAACAGGCAACTACAATTGAGTGCTTGTTATTGGTCTTTATAAGTTATATTACATAACTTACGACTTGTAATATAATATCGTTATAAGTTATATTATAGAACTTATAACGATATTGATATAATTAGTTATATAATATAAGTTATAACGATATTATATTACTAGCCTGTTTACGCGTTGAGTGAATTAAAATCAAACGCAATATTTTGTCTTCTGTTTCTCATTTTATATTCTCAATTGACTGGTCGGTTTTGCAAGTATTCAATAAACTTGCTTAAATATAGTGCAAGTCCCAATCGGGAATGATTTATGACCATAGAACAATTGTTCTTGTTATAATTTACAATAAATTAGTGTTGTGTCTACGTTAGTGAATAATTTATACAGGAATGGCAGTGAATACTGTGCCTATATCTATATTAACTCTTATATCATAATAACTCAAAGCCGTGCTAAGCTAAACCTAAAATTGAACCGTTTGTTTTAATTTATTAGATAATCTATGTAAATAAAAATATAAATTTTATTCTGCAATATTTCTTTCACATATTTATTTTGCTTCACTACAAATATATAAAATTATGCGGATATTCATTACTTTTATTACTTACAGTAACAGTTATTTGTAGTTGAATTTGACTGCATAGGAAATATGTAGAAACTTACAAAAATTCTGAATAGACAACAGATTTCAAACAAAATTCCTTATCCAGAACCAACTGTTATTCAATTCTAAATAGTCTAGGCACCTCCATATTCTATAATCCCGATTCGAAGTTTCTTGGTAACTCACATTATATAACGCATAATTTGCCGATTACGCATCTTCAGCCAATGTCAACTTCGTAAAACTTCAATCCAAAATCCATTCGCCATTCAAACTTGAGTGCTTTCAAAATCAAGTTTCAAAATTCGATTCTTAGACACAGTACGTTTTCTATATTCCAATTCGAAACACCAATCGAAATTCGAAAATGCTTCAGTCAAGTCCGTCAAAGTCTAGAACGTGAAATGCTTGTGGCGAGGGTGTGGGCGGATCCACTATAAGGGCTGGAGGTGCCCGAGGTCGGCGCTAGTCTTCCACCAGCTCCCATAACATCAAAGCAGCCTCGGTCCCACCAGAGGACACTAAACAACGGTCGTTGAACATAAAGCGAGAGGAAAGGACAGCCCCTGAATACACTTTGACTTCATTGTACTCCGCCTTTGCACTAGCACAAGGGTATCTGAAACCAGAAAGAGAAGAAGAAATGTAGGTATGTAAGTAATTTGTAATTAATAATTAAGGTAAGATAACCGAAAGACAATATTGTAATTGTAAATTAATTTTTGTTATTATGTATTTCTTTTTCGTTACTAGGGTTGCCAGAAAGAGATAGAGATCTCTTGTTAGCTGGCTGAATTCCTAATAATTTATGTTAATTGTTTTTATTTGTACAGTTTTAATAAATAAATAAATTATACCTGAACAAACGTAGATATCCATCAGAGTCCCCGCTTATAAGAAGATCGTGAGCAGAGGATCTGCTCGAAGCAGTTATTAATGACGTCATCGGGTAGAAACGATTGTTCCACATTCCTAAAAATTATTAGTAAATGATATAATATAGATATATTGCAACTAGAAAAGCATTTGGCTACAAATAAAAATAAAAATTATAAGATTACGTTTTGTATGAATAATTTTTAACATGACAATTAGTGAGACAACACAATCGAAGGGACCACCCGGGTAAAAGAAGGTGGGCTGATGACTTGATAGACTTAGCAGGAAAAAACTGGCAAAGATAGAGATAGACGACTCATTGCTCTAGTGGTTAGTAACCCCTGACTGCGAATCCATGGGTCCCGGGTTCGATCCCTGGCTGAGATGAACATCGATGTGATGAGCATTTGGTGTTGTGCTTAGGTCTAGGGTGTTTAAATATGTATTTATATGTGTATCTATCTATAATATGTATGTATAATGTATATCCGTTGCCTAGTACCCATAACACAAGCTTCACCAGCTTAGCATGGGACTAGGTCAATTGGTGAGAATTGTCTTTAAAAACATGTGTGCGTGTACTAGGTGTACACACGTAAGAAGTGAAACTTCTTTATGACCTTATTTTTCGAAAAATGATCTACTATATGCAACTTTACAGAAATTGGTTAAATAAAGTTAAATTAGATAAAGTTTAACAAAAGGCTTTTATTATCATAGACATGAATACAAATACAATTATTTCATTTTACCTTATTTCTGTACTACTATGTAGTACTAAGATTATTACAGAATTTCATTAATTGTAATAGAATTATTAGTATTACTGTCATTGTTATCGTTATTATATATTTTTGTTACTAATGGCTTCGAATCTCTTCGGATCAACCGTGGTAGGGACAAGAAAAAGATGACGCGTAACCGAAAAATGTGTGTAAATTTTTTCCAACGCCGATAAAGAAGTTTGACTTCAAAAAGCAACATGGCGCGTAACCTGCTACAAAATTTCTCCTATACGTCGATAAAGAAGTTTCACTTCAAAAGATGGCGCGTAACGGATAAATGTGACGCGTAACGAAAAAATGTTACACTAAATTTTTTCCAACCCCGATAAAGAAGTTTCACTTAAAAAAAAATAGAGACATCTGGAAAGGGTTGGAGGAGGAACCAAAAGGAACACCCAAGAGGGGACATATCCATAGGGACTAACATACATATTACTACTCGTACTAACATTTAGCTAAACATTTGAAATGGATTAAAAAAAATGGATGAAAAAATAAATTAATTTGTGAAATAGAAACAATGGTGAAATTATTTATTTCCTAAAAACTAACGCATATTCTTTTTATTTTTCTTTTATTGGGCGACCCAAAGTTATTTAGAGACTAAAATCCCTTTTTTCCAACGCCGATAAAGAAGTTTGACTTCAAAAAGCAACATGGCGCGTAACCTGCTACAAAATTTCTCCCATACGTCGATAAAGAAGTTTCACTTCAAAAGATGGCGCGTAACGGATAAATGTGACGCGTAACAAAAAATGTTACACTAAATTTTTTTCCAACCCCCGATAAAGAAGTTTCACTTAAAAAAAATAGAGACATCTGGAAAGGGTTGGAGGAGGAACCAAAAGGAACACCCAAGAGGGGACATATCCATAGGGACTAACATACATATTACTACTCGTACTAACATTTAGCTAAACATTTGAAATGGATTAAAAAAATAGATGGAAAAAAATAAATTAATTTGTGAAATAGAAACAATGGTGAAATTATTTATTTCTTAAAAACTAACGCATATTCTTTTTATTTTTCTTTTATTGGGCGACCCAAAGTTATTTAGAGACTAAAATCCCCATGGAATTAATTTGCATGATATTTTTGGGAATCGGTAGTATTTATATTTTATTACGGTATGTTCATCTAATAAGACTTCGAAGCACATATGTACGTAGGTTGTTTGTCTGAAAGTTTTTCGGGAACGCAAAGTCATACAGAGATTATCTTTTTTATAATTAGGTATATCAGATACGTTAGAATATGGTCCAAGTTTAATAAAAAATGAATCGGCATATTTAATTCAAAACCATACTATGTTATATTGTTAATAAAGAATTTAGATAACCTGATACTAGGAAGCCAACAGTTGAATTATAAGTCGACCACTTGACATCTTTCATGGCCATTGGACTCTTTTCTGGTGATAAGGCTTTTATGTCCCCTGAAAAGTAAATTAATAAAAATCACTTCTAAAATATTGGATATAAAAAATAACTTACAAAAATAGTCTAAAAGTTATTTATTATGTATTCGTTTGTTCTAGAGTAATGAATGTCATCAAGAGGAATCTACATTCCATTGAGACATGGGAAAACATATTTGTATTATGTCTGTTCCAATAACAGCTTATATTCGAAGATATGACAAGTAGGCATTACGACAGGAAATACTTTTTAGAAACATTCGCGTAGTAACCACACTGAAATCAGCGAATATATATATATATTCGCGATTTATATATATATATATATAAACAGATAAGTTATTAAAATTCAAACTGAAATCATTAATACGTTAGAAGTGAGAAATATGTTTTATTGTGTTTAATGCAGGTTGTCCCTTAGTTATTTTTTTTTTTAGAACATGGGGCAAACAGGCAGGTAGGCTCATCTGATGTTAAGTGATACTAACCGCCGCCCATGGACTCTCTCAATGGCAGAGGGCTCGCGAGTGTGTTGCCGGCCTTTGAAGAATTGGCTCTGCATTAGTAACATTCTTGAGAAAAAAATTTTTCGTAATAAATGGTGCAAGCAAAGTTGTGAATTATGCTTCTAATGTACTTGATATCTTTAATCGACTAATCCTTTATTTTAAATTACTTACAAAAAGCTAAATCATAATCAGCTGTAACAGTTTGTAAGTAGTTCCCGTCAAGACTCCAGTCGAGGTGAACTAATGGTTGTGCTCCGCGAATTTTATTCCACTTTTTATAAGAAAAGCCATCTCGGGACACTCGGAACAAGTAGATACTGCCGTTTTGAGAGCCTATTGCTAATACATCGCCAGCTGGAAAATTTAGTTCAACAATAAAATATGTATTATATTACATTATATAGTAAGTTATAATATGATATTGCTTTTATTTATATAACATGGAGCAAACAGGCAGGAGGCTCATCTGATGTTAAGTGATACCGCCCATGGACACTCACATTGCCAGAACGCTCACAAGTGCGTTGCCGGCGTTTTAAGAATTGGTACGCTCTTTTCGTGAAGGATTGCTTGTCTAATACCATCGTAATGTGTCTTTGCAACAGGATATTAAACAAGTCGACTTAGGGTCCTTCATAAACGGCCGGCAAACTCAGAGCCCCTCTGGCATTGAGAGTCCAAGGATTAACATCAGGTGAGCCTCCCCTTTGCCCCGTTCTATAAAAAAAAAAAGGTTATTTTTTATGTAATGGCAGGCAAACCAGGAGTCTCGCCTGATGTTAAGTGATACCGCCGCCCATGGACAATCACATTGCCAGAGAGCTCGCAAGTGCGTTGCCGGCCTTTCAAGAATTGGTGAAATTGGAAGTCGAATTGGTTCGATAAATACTTCAGTGGGCGTCTGGCTGTTTGGTTCCATTGAGGTCCTTGTAAATAAGATAAAATACTCTCACAATAGTACTTCAACCAATTACCTGTATTATACTGTAAACAGTTGAGTGGAGATCCACAGACTCTGACAGTACACACTGGTGCACCTGCATCCGCATTCAATACAATTAGGTGACCCTCAGTGCTTCCAGCTGCGAGAGCTCCGCCTCCCGAGTGCCAGGTTAAGGAAACGCATTCGTAACCCACCTGAAATATCATAAATTCATTACTATACGTTTACCGTTTGACTAACAACTAGCTACCAGCACTAAGGTTCAAATCTTATTAAAATAAACACTATAACCTCAGAAAGTTTACAAAAAAAGAGATTTCTTAATCTGTTTCGGTTAAAACGGTTCTTAGTAGGCACAACTGTAACCAACAAAAACCTAAGTTGTTTACAACTACTTCTATACCTGACATTAGTCGCGTTCCTAAACAGAGTACCAGTGGCTTGGTTAAAATTGTATACTAAACCCAGCGCATTTCTGTCCAACATCTTTACTGTGCACCACTATAGGTAATCCTGCTATGACATCCCTACCAATGTAATATCTAGATCGGAACTCTGTCTTAAATTTTGTTTAAAAAACTTTCTTGGTTGGCAAGTAGGTGTTCTGCCTGCTGTTAATTAGATAGCCTAACTTAACAAAATAAATAGTTGACAAAGCTACCTTTTGATATGGCATTTAAATTTTTTCTAAACAATTTTTATTCTTTTCTTAGATTTCACTTTATTTGATTTCAGTCACAGCGGTTTTCGCATCGTCGGTCGCTATAATTGAGTTTTTCGTTAACAGTCTTTTATGCACTTCTGGTATTCTGAGAAACAGCTGTAGCTGTGTTTTTGTTTATCAGATTCCAAATTAAAAGGGCTGCTTCTGGACTGATGAAAGCGCTCGCCGAGCGATAAGGCCGCCTGTGTGAGTTCGGGAAAACTGATGTAACCTTAATCGTATATGGTTACATTTTTGTATACCACAGCGGTTTTCAAGTAAAATATTATGATGATATTATATTATTCTGTAAAATAATAAATAAAAAAAAATTGCGTATATAAAAATAGAAGCTATGTATATTATGATTCTGCTCTTCTCTACGTTTGACTCTTCAGGTGGGGTTAAAAAAATTACCCGACAATTTACCTGTAACCTAATGCTTATAAAACATTGATGAAATAGATAGGTCGCTATCAATGTACCTACACAGTACATAATATAGAAATAAAGATAGGCCAGCCCTTATTACCAGAGGTGGAAAATCATCATTGCAAGAAAACTATGATTATTGTTTTGAATGCAATCATTACTATAAAACAGTCTAGTTAACGCCAATGTATCACAGAAATTTTCCGATCCCAGTTTCAAACAAATTTATACGAGTACCTGGGTAGCAAATACAAGTTTGTGCCCTTTCCACAGTGCTATGCTCTTGTCATTCCCCGCCGTAGCGAACATTTCGTCATCAGGGTGAACTGCTACACCCATTAGCTGCTTGTGATGCCCGAAGACTATCTGAAATTGTTTACGTTGAGTAAAGAACTGGGGTTTTTAAATTTTAAAATAGCATCAAAGCTCGGTAGTTTTAACAAACAATATTAACATAATCTTTATATATATAATTCTTCTAGTATTACGTATAAAAATCTGTTCAATTAGCTTTGTACTGAGATCAAAGAACAGCTATAACTTTTTTTGAATACTCTTTATGTCGTGTTCAATTTCAAAATTCTTTATTTGTTTCGCCCAAAGATTTAGAGTGTACATTATATCCAGTGTACACATTGCACTGCAATCGGTAACAAACTTACAACTGCCTTTTTACAGCTATTTTGCTTTTTTAAAAGCTTATAAAATTGATAGGGACAACGTCTGTAGTGTCCATCTAGTAAGGTTTTATACAATAACAAACGAATTTACAATGAGGTAAACTACCTGGTAATTTACCATGTTTAGATGAGATTTGCATTTTGACATGCTAAATTGAATAACTAAATATAGTTCTAACAATAATTGGGATAGCACTGAGAACTTATTTTGAATACTCTATATTAAAATTTCTCACAGTATCTCAAAAGGCACAATGCTGTACAATTTGAAGGAAGCAGGAGGCTTACGTCCAAGAATTAAAACAAGGTAAGACATGGGTATCCATTACTAGAGGAGACGTGTATTATATAGGTACCTACTTAATAAAATTTAACTAAATAATTTTAAATAAATACTAGCTGACCCGGCAAACGTCGTTTTGCTATGTATATTATTTCTAGGAAACATTTTTTTAGTTCAATAAAAATAACTATGTATCTACTATAATAAAAAATAGGGGTTGATCGTAGAGGGGTGACAATTAAGGGTTGTATGTATTTTGTATGCTGTATCATAAAAAAATAAAAACAAAAAGTTTTGTCAAAGAAATCAAAAATTTAGAGGTGGGATAGCTCAATTTCACCCTTAACATTTAGGGGGATGAAAAATAGATGTTGTCCGATACTCAGACTTACTCAATATGCATTAAAAATTTATAAGAACGGGTCGAGCAGTTTCGGAGGAGTATGGGAACAAAAATTGTGATACGTTTGTAAAGGCAGCGGTTGAACATTAGGGCACAAAGTTTTATTTGGCAGATTACCAAGTCTATACCTGTACTAGCGCGGACTAGGAGCAATATATAGTAAAAGAGAATACATATACAATATACGAACTTGATTAAACCTCCGTTGTAAAGACCCTTCCATAATATTGTTCCTAGTTGTCCCTACATACAGGTTGCCATCATTTCTGCCAGGTCGCTGTGGGTAGATACTTCGAACCCCACCCGCTGTGTCTGGAAGCTAGAATAATAAATTGGGTTTTAATTTTGTTTACATTTAATACCTAGTACGGGATTATAATTTATGTCAAGATTTGCTATCTGACTTATAGGTTAATTGAAAACAACGGTTAATGTGAATGTTGTAAATCACAGAACAGATTTTTTTTTACTTATGTAACTTTAATAACGTTGTGGTTTATGACATTTTCCTTTTAATAATTGTAATGTAGAGGGAGGGTAAAACTTGCTGAGTTTCTTGCCCGTTCTTCTTAGAACAAGGCCTCCAGCCCTGCGATTCTGTAACTCACTTTTCGAACTCACACAGCGGTTTTCGCATCGGTGGTCGCTCTGAAATCAGTCGTGAAGCAGTCATTTTATGATTTGGCATTCTGAAAAGGTGGGAGCTTGTAGTTTATTGTTTATCAGAATGCCAAATTACAAAAGAGAATTACAGAATCGCAGGGCTGGTAGTTTTGCGAACGGATGGCGTAGTCTTGCTCTCTCGCGAATTTCGTAAACGTTTTTGACATTCATAAGCATGTCCTAAGACGCATCTAAATTGAATAAACGTATTTTGATTTTGAATAAAACTGTAGCAGGGTTGAGGGACACAGTAGGGTAAAAGGTAATTTCACATTGTATGTTATTTTGACAACTGGAGGAATGTAAATGGATCTTACATTCCTCTGGAAGTAGATTTCTAAAAGACTAAACTTTTTTTTAACTTTTAACTAAGTCATACCGTATGTATTCGGATACCTTTGTTTCCGTTATCCTCTTGTAATTCTGCAGGGAGTCCCAGGCTGCGATCTTTCTATCTCTTTCACCTCCCGAAATGAGAGTACCTTCAGAGAGCATTACTAACGAGCTGATGCCTTTTATATGTGCCTGGAAAGGTCGGTTAAGCAAGCGTTATAACGTTTATATAAAGGCGTTAGTGAGTTTAATCAACTAAAGTACTTTTGTGTCTGTTTTCATCACAGCGTAAACATAATTTGACAGAAGAAGTACTTAGTTCATAAGGCACGTAATTGTGCTTCACCTACCTAATGGGTGAGTGTTAGGTGATTTTAATATGTATAAAGTCGTTTAAATAAATATATATTCATATGTTCCCATTTAGGCAGAATCTTTCTCCTTAAGAACATATGTGTCTCTTGAAAGGTGTATTAATTGCTCACATTACAGATATATAGAAGTTGAAGAAGTGAAGTAACAAAATATTATTTGCGCCGTAATAATTTAATTATTTCTAAAGATTCCTTATGCTTATAAGATAGTTTGTTGTTATCATTTTTATGATCTTTGGTATTCCTGTTTTATATTCTTGTGTTTGTTTGTTTTGCGTGTGTTTTTTGTTAATCCATTTTATATTTAAATACTATAGAGAGATCCCTCCTTGCGAAGATAAAATGTATTGTATCCATAAATAAACAAATTATTAAACCACATAATATCAATAATAAACGGCTCAAATATCTTTCCTCCAACTTTGATTTTAATCTCTTTGAAGAGTGGAGACTCTTGGGCCGTGGGGTTCAAGTGCACAAACGCTAATTTATGATTTAAGTAGGCGGTGAACTCAGAGCTAGTGCTTTCTTCGCTTAACGAATAATATCGCAATACAGCGAGGAAATGCTGCCAACATTAAAGGAACACTGCCACAGGGACCAAACTTTTTAAATTTGTTTTAATTTTCAATTTATCAACATAATAAATTATTATAGTATTATTAGTAGGTTAAGAATATTGTAAATACTTCATATGTGTGTGTTGGAAATAAAAATATCAATTTACCTCAAACTCCATTCGAACGAAGTAAGCCCCATCACTATCGACGCTATAAATTGTGATAAACCCATCACTATCGGCCGTCACAACATCGCCATCTTGTTCGAATTGAAGGGCTGTCACGTGAGTTCTTGAAGGCTAATAAAGTAAAATTTAAGTTTAGTGGCAAGTTAGTTCAAACGCTTTTTTATGCTTTATTTCAACACGAAGTTTTTAAATAAATCCGAGTGCTTTTCAGCGTTCGTGATCAGGAGGTCAACGTATTGTAATAAATTCTAAATATGGTCATAATCGTTTAATTTTATAACATTAGAAAAACTTAGTTGTGCAATACACCGCAGCTTTAATATATTACATTAGGTTACAAAACCTACGGCGTATTTTAAGGTTTCAACTGACTTTTAATAATAAAAACGTCAATATGTATGAATAGATTTACAATTCGAAAAAGTGTATGCTTTACTTACAGGTTTGATAATGTCCGTCCGTTCGAAGAATCCATCTTTACGTCGATTCCAAAACGCAAGATGACCTTTACCGTGTGTGATTAGCAAATTGTCATCCAGGGGATGAAAAGCTGCCCCCGTGAGTTCTTCTTGCAGCGTCTACGGAAGTTATTTTTATTTTCATACACATACATCTAACAATTTTGTCAAATGGTCCATAATAAACATATTTAATTAATAAAACCAATGTTAAAGGTTTATTAATGGGATGTCGTTGATCCCTCGGAAAATGGGCCGGGCTTTTGTATGGGATGCTACTTGTGTGGACACTTTTGCGCCGTCTCCCCTCCTTCGGACAAGCAAAAAAGCTGTGGCGGCCGCAGAGCAGGCAGAAAATAATAAACAGCACAAATATAAGTCTTTCCTCCAACTTCGATTTTGTACCCTTTGGAGTAGAAACTCTTGGGCCGTGGGATTTAAGTGCACAGGCGCTTATTAAAGATTTGAGTTGGCGCCTGGTAGATAGTACCGGTGACCCCAGAGCTGGTGCTTTCTTCGCTCTAATATCGCAATGCAGCGAGGAAATGCTGCCAGCGTTAAAAGTACATTGCCACAGGAACCAAACTTTTTAAATTTGTATTGATTTTCTTTTTAATAATTTTAATTATTACTTTGTAGGTCAAGAAAATTGTAAATACTCTATACTTGATTGTAATCAATTAATAAAACTGTTTAAATTATGTTATCTCTCATAATAAAATATTATATTCTCACGCTATAATAATAAAGTTTTTAATTTCGTTTCGATTCCTATTAAAATTGAATAAGTTTGTCAACCACATAACTGTTTGAACCATGAGGCACAAGGCAAGTTTATCAGACTTCTGGGCCTACCAACCCGAAAGTGTTATTATTACTACGACAATCGAATCTTGATTACATAGAATGTAGTTCTCGAAAATAGGTATATTTATTTACACTTCGTTACATTTATAGAAAAACAAATAACATAATACATAAAAATTATAAGGGTTGCAACGGGCGGCTAACAGGCGATCTCTTCCAGGCAACCCTAGTAAGGAAAAAAATCTAATAAAGTATACAATAAAGATAAACTATATGGCTTACTACTACAAAGTTATTGTAAATAATAAATGTGCAGTGTCGAATATGCTAATTTCTTCGGTTAGTTAGGCATAAATTCTTAACGTTGTAAAACAAATAATGCTCTTAAATAGAAGTAACGTAAATCAGGGATAAGAGTTGCACGCTTAAGCCCCTAGACCAACACAGCTATAGGTATATTTAAGACTTTAATGATATATATATATATATATTAGTTTTCCTTCAATTAAATCCACTATCACTATATTTATTAAGACATGCAAATAAATAATGAGTAAAACATACATGTAATTAATATTATTCTGATGTTCAATTTCCATTTCATATAATTCAAATAAAGTTGTTACAAAATCAGGTCACATACCGAGTACTTCGCGTGACAAATCAGTGAACAGTCGCCAAGAAAAAGTATTCGTACAATATTATCAAATGTATGATTTGAATTAAACAATGACGTAATAAAACATCTTAGGTACTTGATAAAAAATTTGAATAATATAACGTTAAAAAATTATTAGATAAATATTTGGTTCATATCAATTTTAGCATAGATAATGTTAATAGTGGCGCTACAACCTTTTGAAGGTCTGAATCTGTTTCATCCTCATGAAACAGATTCAGACAGATTGACAAAATCTAATATGCAAGTAGGTGATCAGCCTCCCGTGTCTGACACACGCCTTTGACTTTTTGGATCTAAACTAGCAAGCCGGTTTCCTCACAATGTTTTCCTTCACCGTTCGAGCGAATGTTAAATGCTCACCAAGTCCATTGGTGCAAATCCAGGGTTCGAATCTACGACCGACGAATGAGTGTTGTTGTCTACACTAATTTGAAGAAAAAATATATTTTTTTTGCATGTTTATGAGTTTTATGACGAATACAATAAACACAATACTGTACTGTTTTTCAAATTCTTTTCGCATTATTCCGTTATTATTATACATTTTTCCAAAGAAAATCCAGCGTCTACAAGTATGTATATAAAACTTATTTTTGTTGTCACCATAGATTAAAAAAAATATAACGTAATCTTTAAAAAATAACACATCAAAATAATAATAAAAATATATAGATAATAAATGTATTGTTTATATAATAACACTAAATAAAACTTTCTATTGACATTATTTATTGTATTTTCTTATAATTGTTATAATTTTAATTTTAAACCCACGGCTATTATCGTAGTATTAGTAGCTTATGACCATAATAATTAATAAAAATAAATTACTAAACCAGTAGGATACAAGCTTAGTGTATTCAAAGAAATATAGTATTCCATGTCGTGGAAACATGAATAAAAATAGGTATTATTCTCTTTTTTATAAACACCTTGAACAATGAACTTTTGTGAATATTTTTCGTAGGAAAATAAATTCGTGAACGAAGTGCATTTCGTGGCGACAATCGAACATTCCATCTATACGACCGGCCTTGAGACTAGCAAGGTCATTCAGTTATATCATCAGCAACCGAGCGGTTAAAGGACTCTCTGTTACCCTATAAGTTCGAATCACACTATTGATTTCTGTTCGCAATTAAATCTTGCTCGTACGATAGCTTCCTTTTAAAGAAAGAAGAAATTTGTCGCTATGCTTTATATAAAGACCACAAAATTGATATAAAATCAAAGTATAATTTACTCAGAGATGAAATTTTTATGAACGTCAATAAAAAAAAATATGTATATACATATTGGTATTATACATATGGCTGGCTAATCTGCTACGTGTAATGTACCAGTGAACAGGCTCGTACAACTTGATTACTAACATTGATGAAAATATTGATATATTTTACAATTAACTGTAACTTTGTTTATCATGCTCTTAATGAGGTTTAAGTTTTCATTTAGTTTTTATTATTATTTTATTTGTTTATTTGGTGGTTGCTCGGTTAATTAATTCCCTTGCTAGCTTCCTTATATTCTAATATAATTGATATGTATGTGTAGGTGTGTAAAACTTGTGATGTCATACTTTCTTATATATTTTATGCATATACGTTGTTTTAGAACTTATAAATAAATTAAATAAACTCTTATTGGTGAATTAACATTATGATTGTTATATGCAATGGTATATATTAAGGTTGTGTAATATTTATTCCACAAAAAAATTTATCGCTGATAATCACTGGTAATTAAAATGCAAAAAGGTACTTACAGCAACTTTCCCAAGAAGATGTCCCCATTGCCACTGCCACACGGAAAGAATACTCTCGCGACCACTGTCTACAGCCATGACGTAGCTTCCTCCATTCTTCGTGAAGAAGAAAATGGTTAGTACACAATTAAAGACACGTATGGTGTATGCAGTTTGTATGTTTTATGCTGTACATGCGTTTTCAGTATCTGTCTTGTAATAAATTCTATAGAATATAATTAATAAATTCTATTGGCCCTCACTTGAAATTTTATCACTTGGCTTAAATGCTATGCAACGCTATTGTTATAAAGATACAGTCAAAACCGTTTACGACGACACCGTTTAGAACTACATACCGGTTATATTGACTAAAATCAAAGGTCCCGGCTGAATTTTATTGTATTAGGTTCTTAATAACAACTTCATCGGCTATTACGACTATCGGTTTTTGCGACCAAATATGAGTCCCTTCGATGTTATTATAACAGATTTTGACTGTATTAATATTTGTAGCTCACGAAGATACTGTGTTTAATGATGAAGGTGATAGAAACATCCTATTTATTATTTTTTAAATAAAAACAAAGGTACCAGCTGAGAAAAAGCCACCGCAGACACGCCAGCTTCAAACTCCGCCATCCCAAAGACGTGTAAAGTCTGTAAGGTGTCAGTACTCCATATTCGCACATGAGCTTGTGCACGACGACCACGCCCTGCACGTTGGCCGCTAGCTACGAGCTCTCGAGATGGGTGTAATTCCATACTGTTATTAAAATATTAAGTGTTTATTTAAAGTCAAAGTCAAAATAACTCTATTCGTATAGGTAAACAAGTACACTTATGAACGCCAGAAAATAAGTTAAACTAATTCCAAATTTACATTTACTACCAGTTCGCGAGTCAAGGGCGTAGAGGGGGCAAGAAGAACTGGCAAGAAATTAATGATTTTTATTAACAATGTTAAATTGGTAGTGTAATTGGATTAATTTTAACAAAACATTTCACTTTATAATTTTTTTTTAAATTACGGCAAATAGCTAAATTAAAAGAGGAATATTACCATTGAATATCTTCTGTGTGTCCCATATAATGCCTTTGGGATTCTTCGTCCCTGTCATACATTACTGCAATAGCTGCGACATAGTATAACAGTTCCCCAGTGGGTAGAACCCAAAGATTTTTTCTGGAATCGGCACCTCGGTATCCGTATCTGTATTTATGTTTCAGAAATTTAGCTATTATTGCACTATTATATCTCTTCGGCAACAAAACCTTTATAAGCATCATTTTTGGAATTTCATATAATAAACTTAATAGATTGGCCTAGTGGCTTCAGCGTGCGGTTCTCATCCCTGAGGTCGTAGGTTCGATCCCCGGCTGTGCACCAATAGACTTTCTTTCTATGTGCGCATTTAACATTCTCTCGAACGGTGAAGGAAAACATCGTGGCAACCGACATGTCTTTCACCTAAAAAGTCGACGGAGTGTGTCAGGCACTGGAGGCTGATCAGCTACTTGCCTATTAGATTGAAAAATTATCATGAAACAGATTCAGCAATCTGAGGCACAGACCGAAAGAGGTTGTAGCGCCACTGATTTATTTATTTATTTTTTGAAACTTAAATTAACTGATTTGTTTATTATTAATTTAGCAGTTTTGATTTTAATAGTATCGTGTACATTGAATAAAACCGAAACATTCTTCGTTATATTCAAGTTTTTAATTGTACGATTTTAAGTTATTCGGTAAGTTGTCTTTAACTGATTTTATACTTATTTGTAAAGTATTTCATGAAAGTGGTTCCTAATACACTTTAAAAGTGAAATATAATTTCAACCAAGCGAAATAAAACATGATGGTTTATTATCTCTGCCATAAAGTTGTGGAATACGCTCCCCGACTCCATACGATTGGGTTTCTCTCTAACCTCTTCTAAAAGTCTTCTACATAACACTTCTTAACAATATTCTATCCTGCTCAATCGTGACTTTTGTAATTCATATATTATATTATTCTTTTGTATTGCATTGTAATTCGTGAACGAAATATGTAATATTTATTTTAGATTGTTTGGTAATTGTATAATTTCTCAGTGTTACTTGTAATTTTATTTGTGTTGATTTGGTTATGCACTTCTTGCCCTTAGTGTTTCTTTTTTTTAGTTATTTTCCTTATTAGGGGTGCCTAAAAGACCTTTTTAACAATAAGGTCACCCGTTGTATCCCTAATAATTTATGTTACTTGTTTTATTTGTAATGTATATTTACGATGTTTAAACAAATAAAATAAACATTATAATAGGGTTAATGCTTTACTTGACTATATAAAACAAAAGACCTTCAAACAGCAGTTCTATTGGTAACAAGAATATCATATAATTGTACCATTAGGTAAACAAATAATAACGTGACAATATAGATGAGCCAATACGTACACCCAATCGAGTTGTAATTTCTTGTCCGGGGGTGAATTGTCAATCGGTGGGTGGTGAATGGGCGGGTAGAATGTTCGTCGAAGCCCACGTATCGTGACCCGAATTGGCTCCTCCTTTAAAACTTCCAAAAGAGTGTAATCTACAACAAATATTAAATAATAGACATATTATAGGTATTACCCATAAAAAAAAATATTTAAAAATTCAACTGTTCCTCTAAAAATGGAATGGTTATGTTTTT